TGAGTGAGGAGAGAGGAGTGAGGGGGAAGGGAGTGGAGTGAGTGAGTGAGGAGAGAGGGGAGTGAGGGAGGAGAAAGGGGAGTGAGTGAGGAGAGAGGTGAGGGGGGAGAGAGGGGAGTGAGGGTGAAAGTGTAACCCGGTGAGGGAAGGAGTGAGTGAATGAAGACGTGAATGAATGAGTAAGTGAATGAGTGAGCCGGTGAGAAAAATGAGAGGGAAGGAGGGGGGTTTGGGTGAGAGGAAAGAGAGAGGATAGATATGAGTGAGATATGAGAGAGCGTGGGGAGGGGGAGAAGGGAGAGTGTGGGTTGAGTGCGAAGGGAGAGATTGAATGAGTTTGCTGGGAGTCCCTTGCACAGTGGCAGTTCGGGGGAAAGTGTGAGGGGGGGCGAGCGGGTGTGGGGATATCACAGGGAGATGGGGGGGAGAGGGAGTGAGATGGGGGAGAGGGAGAGAGATGGGGAAGGAGATGGGGTAGGGATATGGCCCGTGTTGCACCTGGGGATACGCGAGAGAAGGGATGTCCACACACACTGACACAGTAGACACACACACACACTGACACACGACACACTTACACACAGTAGACACACACACTGACACAGTAGACACACACACCGACACACACACACTTACACACAGTAGACACACACACTGACACAGTAGACACACACTGACACACACACTTACACACAGTAGACACACAATGACACAGTAAACACACACTGACACACACACACTTACACACAGTAGACACACACACTTACACACAGTAGACACACACACTGACACAGTAAACACACACACTGACACACGACACACACACACACAGTAGACACACACACTGACACAGTAGACACACACACTTACACACAGTAGACACACACACTGACACAGTAGACACACACACTGACACACGACACACTTACACACAGTAGACACACACACTGACACAGTAGACACACACACCGACACACGACACACTTACACACAGTAGACACACACACTGACACAGTAGACACACACTGACACACACACTTACACACAGTAGACACACAATGACACAGTAAACACACACTGACACACACACACTTACACACAGTAGACACACACACTTACACACAGTAGACACACACAATGACACAGTAAACACACACACACTGACACACGACACACTTACACACAGTAGACACACACACTGACACAGTAGACACACACACCGACACACACACACTTACACACAGTAGACACTGACACAGTAGACACACACACTGACACACGACACACTTACACACAGTAGACACACACACTGACACAGTAGACACACACTGACACACACACACTTACACACAGTAGACACACACACTTACACACAGTAGACACACACACTGACACAGTAGACACACACACTGACACACGACACACACACTTACACAGTAGACACACTGACACAGTAAACACACACACTGACACACGACACACTTACACACAGTAGACACACACAATGACACACGACACACACACAGTAGACACACACACACTTACACACAGTAGACACACACACTGACACACGACACACTTACACACAGTAGACACACACACTTACACACAGTAGACACACTGACACAGTAGACACACACACTGACACACGAAACACTTACATACAGTAGACACACACAATGACACAGTAAACACACACACTGACACCACGACACACACACAGTAGACACACACAATGACACAGTAGACACACACACTGACACACACACACTTACACACAGTAGACACACACACTGACACACGACACACTTACACACAGTAGACACACACACTTACACACAGTAGACACACTGACACAGTAGACACACACACTGACACACGACACACTTATATACAGTAGACACACACAATGACACAGTAAACACACACACTGACACCACGACACACACAGTAGACACACACACTGACACAGTAGACACACACACTGACACACACACACTTACACACAGTAGACACACACACACAGTAGACACACACACTGACACAGTAGACACACACACTGACACACACACTGACACACAGTAGACACACACAATGACACACGACACACACACAGTAGACACACACAATGACACACGACACACACTTACACACAGTAGACACACACACTGACACAGTAGACACACACACTGACACACGACACACACACACTTACACACAGTAGACACACTGACACAGTAAACACACACACTGACACACGACACACTTACACACAGTAGACACACACAATGGCACAGTAGACACACACACTGACACACGACACACTTACACACAGTAGACACACACTGCCACGCATACACACACTGGCGCGCGCGCGCACACACACACACAGACATACAGTAGGCACACACTGACATACAGTAGGCACACACTGACACAGTAAACACACACACTGACACACACACAGTAGACACACACACTGACACAGTAGACACACACACTGACACACACACAGTAGACACACACACTGACACAGTAGACACACACACTGACACACAGTAGACTCACACACACTGACACGCAATCGACAAACTGACACACGACACACACCGACACGACACACACTGACACACGACACACACTGACACACATTGACACACAGTAGACACACACACTGACACACGGTAGACTCACACACACTGACACGCAATCGACACACTGACACACACACCGACACGACACACACACACTGACACACGACGCACACTGACACACATTGACACACAGTAGACACACACACTGACACACATTGACACACGACACACACACACACTGACACACGGTAGACCCACGCACACAGTAACACACAGTAGACACGCGCACACAGTGACACAGGACGAACACAAAGATGCCCCGTATAGCCTCTTAACAGACTGTTGGGGCAAGTGCTGTCAGCGATCATACATGAAGGCCGGCACTGTGTCACACGAGGGGTGTGACACACACACACACACACTGGCACGCACACGCACTGACACAGGCGACGCACGATACAGACGCACACTGGTACACACAGACGAACACACCCCGACACACAAGACGAACGCGCACACAGACACAGTCACACATAGGTGCATACACAAGCGCACAGTGACAACAATCGGACACACACAGAGACATTGACCCACACCGGACGAGAGAGACGAAGCCAGGATACAGAGAGAGAGAGAGAGAGCGCGAAAGAAACGGGAGGAAGATGAGAGTGGAGAGGGAGTGGAGGGAGAGAGTGGAGAGGGAGTGGAGGAGATGGGGGAGAGGGGAGAGGGAGGGAGTGAGATGAGACGTAGGGGAGAGAGAGGAAGGGGGAGGGGGGAGAGGGGAGGGAGAGGGGAGGAGGGGAGGGAGAGGAGAGAAAGAGGGGGGAGAGGAGGGGAGGGAGATGGGGAGGAGGGGAGGGAGAGGGGAGGAGGGGAGGGGAGAGAGAGAGGGAGGGAGAGGGGAGAGAGGGAGGGAGAGAGGGAGGAGGGGGGAGAGGAGGAGGGGGAGGGAGAGAGGGAGAGGGGGAGAGAGGAGGAGGGGGAGAGAGAGGGAGGAGGAGGGGGAGAGGGGAGAGAGGAGGAGGGGGAGAGAGAGAGAGGAGGAGGAGGGGGAGAGAGAGAGAGAGGAGGAGGAGGGGGAGGGAGAGGGGAGAGAGGGAGGAGACGCGACATGGGCGCCTCGGTCTCTGGCATCAGGAAGATGGCGTGAGCTCATGAGCGGCTTGTGGTTAGCAGAGAAAGGGTACGAGGGCAGCTCCTCCTCCCAGCCACCATCACCAACATCACCAACATCACCGCAACCACCATCGACCACCGCCATCCCAGGACGAGCGCTTAAACGGGTGTCCTTGCCTCGACTGCATGCGCTCAAACCGCGTTGTGTGTTGGGGCCTCCGGGCCTAGAGCGGTTGTTAGGGGGCTTTAGGGGTATCGGGGGGTGGGGTTAGGGCTTTAGGGGGGCAGAGCAAGCGGCGTGAGGAGCATGAGAGTTCCCCCTCCTCCTCCTCCTCCTCATTGAACCCCCTTACCTCGCCACCGGCACATCATCATCATCACCAGCACCACCACCACCACCACCACCTCTGTCATTTCCTCCGGAGCAGAGAGACACACGCAGAGCGAGCGAGAGAGAGCGAGAGGGGTCGTCCTTAAACCGCAGGTTGTGAACCACCCCAACACAACCCCCCCCACACACACACACGTCCCCGCCCTGGCAAAGCAAACGCGTCTGCTGATGGTGATGCTGATTGATGAGGTGGCGGCGAAGACGACGACGAAGACGACGACGAGGAGGAGGAGGAGGAGGATGATGCGCGCGATGGTGGCGATGCTGGTGACGTTCGGGGTGCCAAGTTTCGCTTCTGCGGCCACGCTGATCGACGCGACTCTGACCGCTGTGGTGGTGACGGCGGCGCTGCTGATGAGTCTCGCCGTGCCGACGCCCGTTCACATTCGCTGCGTTTCGTCGACGGCCACGGCGATGCTGATGCTGATGATGCAGACGACGATTAACGCCGTGCAGAAGACACCGCCGAAGCGCTCGGACGTGCAGATTCTCGCCGGACGATTTGACAATGAGTGGCTTGTGAGTTCCGTCTCAGCGCAAGTGTCACAGCTCAGGAATTTTCACAAGACGACGACGACGACGATGATGATGATGATGACGACATCTGGGTCTGGCAACAATTAAGAAGTCCATGTCTGAAGACGACACGGCATGGATCACAGACCACGCGAAGGCAGTAGCAGCAGCAGCAGTAAGAACAGCAGCAGCAGCAGATATCACAAACCGCATCCGCATCATCACCACCAGAAGCCTCATCAGCAGCACCATCATCATCAACATCATCAGCATCATCATCATCACCACAAGCAGCACCAGCATCACCATCACCACCAACAACAACAGCAGCAACATCAGCAGCAATATCATCATCATCAGCAGCAGCAGCATCATCATCGCCACCACCGCCACCATCACCACCACCACCATCACCACCCTCACCACCACCACCATCATCACCACCAGCACCACCAGCACCACCACCCTCACCACCACGACCACCACCATCACCGGCAGCAGCTGAAGGCCTGGCGAGGCGCGCGTTGCTGCGAGAAGCCCTTCACCGACCCCGAGAGCGCTCAGAAGTGGCGCCTGTCCCTGGCTGCGTTGCTGTTCTTCACAGTGCTGCTATCTGATCACCTTTGGCTCTGTGCGGAGGCTACTCGGCCCCTGGACACCACCAGCAGCAGCAGCAGCAACAGCAGCAGCAGTAGCAGCTGTCTCGAAGGTCCCACGAGCAGCGAGCAGAGTCGAGTCCGCGTGGCCCATCGCCTCATCCGCAACGACTCCCTGGCCGACGACGACTCCGACTCGGTCACGGCGGCCGCAGCCGCAGCCGCCGCAGCCGCCGCCGCCTGGGGCGCGACGTCTCCGGCAGGGGCGCTTCTAGGCGAGAGCCTAGGCTCCGAGACGGATTTAGGCCCAGGGTCTGAGTGGAGCGTTGCAATCGCTGGCGCCTGTGGAACTGCAACGCCTGCGGCGGCGTCGGACAGAGACGCCGCGCTGCGAAAGACGATGCCGTTCTGTAGCCGCTACACCCTGGGAGACGCGGTGGCCGCGTACTCCCCGCGAGCGGAGGCCGAAGCCTGGCGCTGTCCTGGAGCGGCCGCCGGGAAAGGGGCGACGGAGGCGGCGGCGGCGGCGGGGGCGGCGGGGGGGTCGTGCCGCGCGTGCCTCGCGGAGTTTGTGCGCAGGGACGTGGAGGCGCGGGGCAAGCACCGCGAGTTCGAGGAGATGATGGCCAAGTACGTGCCGAGGGGCTCTCTGCCCGGGTGGACGCCGCGGTGCAAGGTGAGGGCGATCGGGGGGCAGAGCGGGGGGGGAGGAGAGAGACCTTACGGGGCCCCCCTCGGTGGTGGTGGTGGTGACGGGAGGGTGACGGGTCGCTCATGGGGTAGAGGCGAGGAATGGGGGCGAGCGGGCGGTCGTTTGATTTGGGTGGTCGTGGTGGTTGTTAGGTGGTGGTGGTGGTGGTTAGGGTTGTGGTGGTGCTGATTGTGGTTAGGGTTGTGGTGGTGGTGGTGGTGGTTAGGGTTGTGGTGGTGGTGATTGTAGTTAGGGTTGTGGTGGTGGTGGTGGTGATTGTGGTTAGGGTTGTGGTGGTGGTGATTGTGGTTAGGGTTGTGGTCGTGGTGGTTGTTAGGTGGTGGTGGTTGTTAGGTGGTGATTGTGATGGTGGTGGTGTTGGTGGTTAGGGTTGGTGGTCGTTATTGTAGATGGTGGTGATTGTGGTGGTGGTTAGGGTTGGTGGTCGTGATTGTAGGTGGTGGTGATTGTGGTAGTTGTGTTGGTGGTTAGGGTTGGTGGTCGTGATTGTAGGTGGTGGTGATTGTGGTGGTGGTGTTGGTGGTTAGGGTTGGTGGTCGTGATTGTAGGTGGTGGTGATTGTGGTGGTGGTGTTGGTGGTTAGGGTTGGTGGTCGTGATTGTAGATGGTGGTGATTGTGGCGGTTGTGTTTGTGGTTGGGGATGGTGGTCGTGATTGTAAATGGTGGTGATTGTGGTTGTTGTGTTTGTGGTTAGGGTTGGTGGTCGTGATTGTAGATGGTGGTGGTGGTGGTAGTAGTTGGTGGTAGTTGTGTTGGTGGTTAGGGTTGGTGGTACTGGTTGTTTGGTGGTGGTGATTGTGGTGGTGGTGGTGTTGGTGGTTAGGGTTGGTGGTCGTGATTGTAGATGGTGGTGATTGTGGTGGTTGTGTTGGTGGTTAGGGTTGGTGGTCGTGGTTGTAGGTGGTGGTGGTAGTTGTGTTGGTGGTTAGGGTTGGTGGTACTGGTTGTTAGGTGGTGGTGATTATGGTGGTGGTGATGTTGTAGTCGGTGGTGATAGTTGTGTTGGTGGTTAGGGTGGTAATTGTGGTGGTTGTGGTGGTGATAAGTCAATCTTGTGGTTAGGGTTGGTGGTTGTGGTGGTGGTTGTGGTGGTGATAAGTCGTGCTTGTGGTTAGGGTTGGTGGTTGTGGTGGTTGTGGTGGTGATAAGTCGTGCTTGTGGTTAGGGTTGGTGGTTGTGGTGGTGATAAGTCATGCTTGTGGTTAGGGTTGGTGGTTGTGGTGGTGATAAGTCGTGCTTGTGGTTAGGGTTGGTGGTTGTGGTGGTGGTGATAAGTCATGCTTGTGGTTAGGGTTGGTAGTTGTGGTGGTGGTTGTTGTGGTTATAAGTCGTGCTTGTGGTTAGGGTTGGTGGTGGTGATTGTGGTGGTGGTGTAGTAGGTGGTGATGGTTGTGTTGGTGGTTAGGGTGGTGATTGTGGTGTAGGTGGTGATGGTTGTGTTGGTGGTTAGGGTGGTGATTGTGGTGGTGGTGATAAGTCGTGCTTGTGGTTAGGGTTGGTGGTTGTGGTGGTGATAAGTCGTGCTTGTGGTTAGGGTTGGTGGTGGTGATTGTGGTGGTGATGGTTGTGTTGGTGGTGATTGTGGTGTAGGTGGTGATGGTTGTGTTGGTGGTTAGGGTGGTGATTGTGGTGGTGGTGGTGATGAGTCATGCTTGTGGTTAGGGTTGGTGGTGGTCGTGGTGGTGGTAAGTCGTGCTTGTGGTTAAGGTTTGTGGTGGTGGTGATTGTGGTGGTGGTAGTTGTGTTGGTGGTTCGGGTTGGTGGTGGTGGTGATTGTGCTGGTGGTGTAGGTGGTGATAGTCATTTTGTGGTTAGGGTTGGTGGTGGTGGTGGTGATGATAGTCATGTTTGTGGTTAGGATTGGTGGTGGTGTTGGCAGTGGTGGTGATTGTGATGGTGGTGGTGATAGTCGTCTTTGTGGTTAGGATTGGTGGTGGTGTTGGCAGTGGTGGTGATTGTGATGGTGGTGGTCATAGTCGTGTTTGTGGTTAGGATTGGTGGTGGTGTTGGCAGTGGTGGTGATTGTGATGGTGGTCATAGTCGTGTTGTGGTTAGAGTTGTGTTGGTGGTGGTGGTGATTGTGCTGGTGGTGATAGTCATGTTTGTGGTTAGAGTTGGTGGTGATTGTGCTGGTGGTGATGGTCATGTTTGTGGTTAGAGTTGGTGGTGATTGTGCTGGTGGTGATGGTCATGTTTGTGGTTGTGTTGGTGGTGATTGTGCTGGTGGTGTAGGTGGTGATAGTCATTTTGTGGTTAGGGTTGGTGGTGGTGGTGGTGATGATAGTCATGTTTGTGGTTAGGATTGGTGGTGGTGTTGGCAGTGGTGGTGATTGTGATGGTGGTGGTGATAGTCGTCTTTGTGGTTAGGATTGGTGGTGGTGTTGGCAGTGGTGGTGATTGTGATGGTGGTGGTCATAGTCGTGTTTGTGGTTAGGATTGGTGGTGGTGTTGGCAGTGGTGGTGATTGTGATGGTGGTCATAGTCGTGTTTGTGGTTAGAGTTGTGTTGGTGGTGGTGGTGATTGTGCTGGTGGTGATAGTCATGTTTGTGGTTAGAGTTGGTGGTGATTGTGCTGGTGGTGATGGTCATGTTTGTGGTTAGAGTTGGTGGTGATTGTGCTGGTGGTGATGGTCATGTTTGTGGTTGTGTTGGTGGTGATTGTGCTGGTGGTGATAGTCATGTTTGTCGTTAGAGTTGGTGGTGATTGTGGTGGTGGTGATGGTCATGTTTGTGGTTAGAGTTGGTGGTGATTGTGCTGGTGGTGATGGTCATGTTTGTGGTTAGAGTTGGTGGTGATTGTGCTGGTGGTGATGGTCATGTTTGTGGTTAGAGTTGGTGGTGATTGTGCTGGTGGTGATTGTGGTGGTGGTGATGGTCATGTTTGTGGTTGTGTTGGTGGTGATTGTGCTGGTGGTGATGGTCATGTTTGTGGTTGTGTTGGTGGTGATTGTGTTGGTGGTGATTGTGTTGGTGGTGATTGTGCTGGTGGTGATAGTCATGTTTGTCGTTAGAGTTGGTGGTGATTGTGCTGGTGGTGATGGTCATGTTTGTGGTTAGAGTTGGTGGTGATTGTGCTGGTGGTGATGGTCATGTTTGTGGTTGTGTTGGTGGTGATTGTGCTGGTGGTGATGGTCATGTTTGTCGTTAGAGTTGGTGGTGATTGTGGTGGTGGTGATGGTCATGTTTGTGGTTGTGTTGGTGGTGATTGTGGTGGTGGTGATGGTCATGTTTGTGGTTAGAGTTGGTGGTTGTGTTGGTGGTGATGGTCATGTTTGTGGTTGTGTTGGTGGTGATTGTGCTGGTGGTGATGGTCATGTTTGTGGTTAGAGTTGGTGGTGATTGTGTTGGTGGTGATGGTCATGTTTGTGGTTAGAGTTGGTGGTGATTGTGCTGGTGGTGATAGTCATGTTTGTGGTTGTGTTGGTGGTGATTGTGTTGGTGGTGATTGTGTTGGTGGTGATTGTGTTGGTGGTGATTGTGTTGGTGGTGATTGTGGTGGTGAAAGTCAAATTTGCGGCTCAGGTTGGTGGTGTTGGTCGTGATGGTGGTGATGATGGTGGTGATTTCGGTGGTGCGTAGGTGGTGATAGCCGTGGTTAGGGTCCGTAGTAGTAGTGATGGTGATGGTGGTTGTGGTGCTGGTGTAGATGGTAGTAAAAGTGGTACAGGAGGACGTGGAGCTGAGTGGACTTGCCGATGACCGGTACCAGCGGTGTCAAGATCGGCCTCCGTGGAGGAGGAGGCTCGTGAAGGACGCTGCCGCTGGACAGCTGGAGGCAGTCGCCCTCCAGCAACAACGGAGGGCGGAGGAGCGACGCTCACAACAACGAGCGGAGCGCCGGGCAGATAAAATGCAGCAAATCCTTGGGTCTCTCGGTAAAGTCGCGTAGATAGGTTCAAAGAAAATGACAGAAATAAAACAAATAAATAAACAAAATCGACGTTTCGATCGTTTGTGTTTCGATCGAATCGTCGTTTTGTTGTTGTTATCTTGTTGTTATTTTCTTTGAACCTATCTGTGTGACTTTACCGAGAGACCCACCGAAAGCTTTAAGTCAAGATTTAAAATGTAGCGAGTTGGCACAACATGGGGTGGTACAGCTGGTGGTGCATCTACCGGTCATCTCAGTCAGTCACTAACACCATAATCATGGCACCTTGCTGGGTCTGTCCCGTGACCTCCTTGCCAGCGGGCGTTGGACACGTCACGTGGCCTCAACGTGCACCTAGCCTGGCACTTAGTGGCGAATGGCGGTTGTTGTTGTTGGTATTAATGGTGGTGAAATGAGGTGGTAATTTTCGTGATAGAGATCGTGGCGATGGTTCAGGTTGCCACCAGTCCCGTTTTCCCTGAGACCCACCAATGTCCCCCCCCCCCACATCAAGAGGACGATTCTGTACGAAAAATCGGTATGAGGTGGCAACCAGTGGTGACGTTCGTGATGGCAGTGGTGGGTATGGTGATAGAGTTGGTGGGAGTGATTGGTTGTGGTGGTGGTGGCGATGTTTGTGGTGGTATTGGTTGGTGATGGCGACCATTGTGGTGATGATGGTGATGATAATGGTGTTAGTGTGGGTGGTTAATGTGGTGGTGATAGTGACTGTGATGGCGTTGGCGATTGTGATGGTTGTGGTGATCGTTGTGGTGATGATGGTAATGATGATAATGGTGTTAGTGCGGGTGGTGATTGTGTTAATGATGGTGATAGTGATGATCATGGTGTTGGTGTGGGTGGTGATTGTGGTGGTGATGATGATTGTAGTGGTTGTGGTGGTTGTGGCAGAGGTTATGGTGGTGGTGGTTATAGTTGGTGATAGTTGGTGATGGTGTAAGTGAAGTTACATTAATCGTCGTGGTTCGGTGATTGTAGTGATCATGTTGGTTGTGATGGTGGTGGGAGCAGGAAAGGTGATGATAGCGACGATTGTGATGGTGGTGGTGGTGGTGATGGTGATGATGGTGG